AGAACTTTGAAGTCTTCAGTTGATTCTGGTCAGTGAGTCTGGAGGGTGTGTGTGTCTGATGTGTGTGTCTGATGTGTGTGAGGTCAGTCGACCCGCCGTGTCACCTCCTGTTTCCTCCTCTTTGGTTGGATGGAGCGCTCGGCTACTTGTCTTTGTGCAAAAATATCAGTGCCCTCCCACTAGGCTGTCTCAGTGCATCTTCATCATCACCTTCATCATCGCCGCCATCAATTGAGTCAGATTGAACAATGTGAAGGGAAGCTTTATGACTTTATGTGAGCGTTGCATTAACTCTTTAAAAATGACCAAATCTTAATTGATTTCTTTACCTTGATATCAAAGATTCTTCGGATAATTGAAAGTTGTAAAGAGATGATTTGCACATTATTGTACATTGTTTACATAAAACAATTGCATATTACACAATAACGATAATTTAACCAGTACAAATGTGGCTAACTCCACTGAAATCAGGCTCTGCACACGAGAAAAGCGGCTCCTCTCCTCTAAATGAGAAGCAGTAGAGTTGATTTGCCAAAATTACATCCTAGTGTCCAGTGTGTCCACTTCTCCACTAACAGGAAGTGATTGATTTAGACTTTGGAGCGAGAACGGCCGGGGAGGAAGCGCGCTGCGACTTCTAATCTTGTGCTGTTGGAAAAGCAGCACCTCAGAATAAAAGTGCAGTTTGCTGAAGTTCTGCTGTTGTTATTTCAGCATTAAATTTAAATTCTCATGAATAAAATCTGCATGTTTAGTGTGGTTGCGTTACCATTCAAGAAGGTTTAAAGTAGAATTTGTAAGTTCATAAAATAAATCCAGAGAATACGGAGGCAGAAAAATGATGATACTCATCAAGCTGTACAGCGGTGCGTAAAAACACGCGCTTACAAATGGATAATAGTGTCATTTTTATTGGGTTTATGTCGATAAATCAATATAGTTTTGACAAATAAAGGCAGCTTACACTTAAAAATATTTCTAAATTGGACCATCGGACGATTGGATACAATAGAAAGTACTAAAAGCTAAAAAGAAAGTACACATTATGTCAGTTTTAAGGTTTTATAAATCGGACTGTGAAATGAGGTTAATTCACCTTCAGATGAACAACAACATATGACATATTATACTTTATTATTTATTTAATAAGAATTAAGACTTAATACAGAACCAGCCCCTCATTATTCAGTAGTTTGTAGAACCACCTTTAGCAGCAATAACATGAAGTGTTTATTTCCTGTGTGACCTTCTCAGTCACATCATTGTGAAGGAGTTTTGATCCACTCTGCTTTAAAAGATTGTGAGTCCTCCCACAGCATGTAATCGGGGTTCAGATCTGGACTTTTTCAGCCATTCTGTTGTAGATTTGTTGCTGGACTTCATTTACCTGCTGCACGATCAGTTTAAGCCAAGCTTTAGCTGTCAGACAGGTGGCCTCACATTTGATTGTAGACTACTTTGACATATAGAGGAAATCATGGTCGACACAATGACTGCAGGGTGTGCAGAACAAGCCCAAACCATCGCGCCTCCACCACCGTGCCCGGCAGTTAGTATGAGGTGTTGGTGTATATGTCCAAGCATCTCCACGTTTCTATCTAAAGAATGATTTCCGTAGGTTGCTACACTTTGTTACATTTTAACAAACACATACTTTTTCAGCTTTCTTCTAATTGTATCGTCAACAACTTTGCCGTTTAACATACTGAGGTCTGTAGAGTCTGAGATGTTGCTGTTGGGATGTTTGAAGTTTCCCTGTGCATCGCACTGTCTGACCTTGATGGGAGTTTGCAGGACATCCACTCCTGGGATGATGGTTATTAGTAAGAATCCAGGTTTTAGTCTCTTCCGCACTGACCGCTCTTCAGAACATGGTCAGAAATGTTTTAATGAAAATATAAACGGCAGCATTTGCCTCAAAAACTTTACATCAGTCTGACTACGTGTGGGATAAGGTGACATTTTGACGTCAGTGGAGCTAAAACTTCGAAAGAAAAAGGTACACGCTTTAGGGCTCGTCTTTGAATGCTGCTTTAACCTCCTAAGACCCAAACTCTTCCACGGCATGCATTTTTAATTTCTCTTTGGTATTTGGGCTGATTGGGGCCTGATGAATGTAAAAACAAAGAATTACCAGATTTTTATTTTTACCTTATTTTTCTTTTTATGAAAAATCAGAGCCACATATGAGGATATTCGTTTAAAATTGAGTATTTTGGTCTAAATAACCCAAAATGTGATGTCCACATATGTGGACGCAGGTCCTAGGAGGTTAATTTCAAAAAGTGGTTTATTGGAAGGGGTGATGAGATTTCCGGCTAAATCGAGATTATTTTTGAAATGTTCTGGTCTTGCTGTACTGTACATACTGTACTTTTTGGGGGTCTCTCTGGTCGTCTTCCGGTGTGGCGTTCAGTCACACAAAACCTTGACTATCTACAGCGAAACTTAATGAAATTTCAGCCTAGTGTCACACACAGGAGTGCAAACAGTTTTCAGGTGATGACCAATATTGAGACCTGGGGGCACTAAACTTGAAACCAAGGTCGGTGTTATTACTATCGCCGCTGCTGCTCACGCTACTACTGATTTTTAATGATGTAGCACTTGAATATTAAAGCCATTAGGGAAGAGAGGGAGAGAGGATTGAGATGTGATTCATTTCTCTGCTCTGGCTGAGTTCACTCCTCTTCTCGGTTTTTTTTCTCTTCATTATATTCGCTCCATCCATTCTCCCCACCTCTTTCTTCCTCCCCATGTCTGTTTCTTTCACTCTTTTTTTCATAATTGTTTTTCATCATCATTTATCTTTTTCTTTCTTTTTTCTTTTTTTTACCCTGCAAATGTTCCTTTTATTTTTTCATCTATATCCTCTATTTGTCTCCTAAATGACAGAGGATGACTAAGACTCCATGGGGTTTTTATTGTGCTTCAGTGTGTGTGTGTGTGTGTGTGTGTGTGTGGGAGGTAGAGTGCTAATAGTCTCGCTCTCTCTCTCTCTCTGACAGACTAATGACTAGTTTGTGCTTCTGTCTCTCACGCTCGCTCTCTCTCCCCTTCTCTCCCCCTCTCCCTCTCTCGCTCTCTCTGAAATAATTAGCTCGCTCGCCCCCTTTTCCAAAGATTGCATCTATTATCACGAATTCTATCAAACTCTCGTCCCCGTTTTTATTTCTTTTGTCATCGCTGTCGCCCTTTCATGATGCGTGTCCGTCTCCCTGTCTTTTTATCTTAATGTGGGAAAAGGAATGCCGGCGTTTATAATGTGGTGATAATGGATTTATTCTGCTTTCTAGATTTCCTCCTCTCTTCTGTTTGTTATCGTAGTGAAATTAGGGCTGCGCTGGACCTCAAAAAACACTCAGTTTCTACAATGAAGTGGGTACAGTAGCGCTTCTCTGTAAGTGTTAGGCTGGTTAAAGTCGATGTTAGCCAGTGTTAGTGACTTAAAGGCTTAAAGAAATACTGAAAACTGAGCTGGGGTGTCGTGATCAGCGGCAGTAACACACACTTCAGCTGTCGTGTCTTCTCAAACTCTTCTGTCAAATAAAGTGACTTTGTTCTCCTAAACAGCTCGTTGGTTTACGCTTGATCTCTTACTGGCTTCAAATATGTCACATCGCTGCAGTTACGCTATCTTTTAATGGTACTTCTAATGTTCTTTATTAACTGGCACATTCAGTATTTTGCCTTTGAGCTTTCTTTTGTAGTTTGTAAAGTTGAGGTTGAAGGTATTTGAGAGACGATGGGATTGGTTGGTGTAAGCACATTAACACGACGTGCGGATATTGTTAAAGAAACGCTCAGTTTTGTATTGAATGGAAGTACTCACTGAAACATTACCACCAAAGAAAACTGTATAATACTGATCTGTGTTTCAGGTTGTACAAAGTGTGTGTTACGTTCCCCTAAAAGGGTCCAGGCGATGAGGGGGGAAGTAACAAAAAGTGTCCGGGTCAGGAAAAAGAGTCAAGGGGGCAAAAGGGTTAAATTAAATAGTTTTATTAAAGTAGCTCAACTTTAAGCAAAACAAACACAACTCAAGCGGTGGTCAATAAAGTAAAAAGTACGTCAAAAAGAAAGAGAGCAGCTCACTAGCTGCAAACACACTAATGGCTCTCTGGCCCAGAGCTCACCTTTCCCTGGGCTTAAATCTCCTTGATTACTGACGAGAGTCAGCTGCACAAAAGGGAAAGGTGGCACCTCAGGCAGAAGAGGTGGTGGGACACGCCCACACAGGCACCTTCAGGAGGAGGCCCTGCTAGGGCCATAACACTGTGTCCATAGTGGGTTTAGCCTTGTTTGGCAGTCCAGCTGTGTCTAAACAGACCAAACGAGTTACACAAATTTCAGCATAGGTTTTAAAAAGTGTTTTTAAAGGTGTTCAGAGCTTCAACACTGAGCTAATAGTGCAGTTATTGAATGTCAGAAACTACAGGCAAAAGCATATTTATTTCCACATTATCTCCTTCAAGTTTCATGGAAATAAAATGGTTAAAAAACACATTTGGTTTTTATTTGACTATTAATTTCCCATTGGACATATATATGTATGTCCAATGGATGCACTGCACATTCATAATATATGTATGAATGATTAGTTAATATCTAATTTGTATATTTTCTTCTGTATTTTGAATATATTTACACACAGGTGGGGGGGTTGAATCTAATGCACAGAACTTTTGGATCTAATATGCCAGAAAATGAAGATCTTTGAACCTGGTTTTATCTTTAAGTTCGTATTTTGTACGAACTTTTGTACGAACCCAAAAGGTTGATTCTGTTCATCTGGACGCAGCTTTTTCTGAAAACGCTGCGTCCAGATGAACAGAATCAACCTTTTGGGATTTACTTGGATGATTGAGACTGCATCAAGACTATTTAGATACTAAAAAACATATATAATGATGTCTATTAGTTAAAATCATCACCACTCTAAACATCTTAAAAGTCCATCACAGCTTCACCTAAACTTGTCTCTGTGTGTCTCTCAGACGACCTGGCGTACGAGGTGAAATGGTTTTTCACCCGGCTGCGCGGCGGTCCCGCGGCGGTCCAGGTGGCCAGCGTTGACCGTTTTGGCGTTGTGAGAAAAATCAACCGCAATTCATCCAGCGACGTTACAATAGAGCGCAAAGACACACACACCTACCTGCTCAACATATTTGGCACTCAGGACAGGTGAGGTGCAAACGAATGATTTGTCTGTTTAATCCCTTTTTGGCTGAGACTCGCACAAACACCATGACCGTCATCACAACTTCCTCTGTGGTTTCCAGTGACAGCGGGGAGTATTTCTGCTCCGTCACTCCCTGGTACCTGTCGGCCTCAACGGGAGCCTGGACAGAAGCTCAAGAGCTGACATCATCCAAAGTCTTCCTCGCTGTCAAATTTGCAGGTGTGGTGCAAAAGACACGCAGTTACACATTTAAACATAAAAGTCTATGATATATGTGCATTATTTTGTTATACGTAACACCAATTCTCTTGTTTCCTCTCTCCTTCTGCAGTTTGGGACTCCCTAAAGTTACCTCTCTTATATGGTGCATCGGCCTCACTGGGTAATATAGTCATTATATGTTTGTTGTACTTCAGAGACTTTGCTTTAGGCAATCTTTAATTGTCTATATCCTTTTCTTTCATCTAGATGACATATTTTTAGGGATTTAAGATTTAATTATGGATTCATTTTTCCACAGTAATGCCTGATTATCTCCAAGTCCTCTAAGTGAGCTTGTACTTTTTACCCCTCGGCCGCAAAAGGCTGATGGGGTATTGTTGTCAGGTCACAGGCAACGTGGACACCCAAGTTTGTGCGATAATTCGAGAGTGAGGCGACGTAGGATATTCAAATTGATACCATAGATGCATCTCTTAAAAGGCTCGGACGAGTTTGAGTCCCAGTGACCTTGACCTCAAGATGATCTCAAGACCTGTGAGGTCACTACATCTTCTAGAAAGCTGAGGGGTAGCACTGGAAACGTTTTTTTAATTTGTGACTCAAGCAGAGAAGCTTTGATTCACAGTAGAAAATAATCCTTGTGTGTTTTATACCGAGCCCTGGTGCAGCGCCTCAATTCATCCTGTCTAAAGCAAGGTGTTTTAGTGACATTTGGCCTTCTTTTAAGATAACCTTCTTCTGATTGGCTACCCTTTGCAAACAGAAGGCCACTCTCTATGATATCATTGAGAGCCAAAAGTAGAAAAAAATGTCTGAAATGGTGTTTAGACCAGTCTAAAGCCTGGCCTTTTAGCCCATGGGAGTTACTTCTACACTTTGCTTGTGTTGAGTATGAGTAACCACTGTTGTGACAGTGTGTTTATGCCAGAAAACCAGAAAAACTCCTGAGTGCAATTCGGTATTTCTTCGACTTTGACAGCTGTGCACCTAAACAGTACATCACAGCTTTCTGGTTTCCTTGTTCTCCTGTACTGTTCTATAAAGCGTCCTCTTGTGTTATGTGTATAGGATTGTTTGTAGACATTTATGAAAGTTGTGTTGCTGTTGCAGTGCTGAATGACAAGCTGTTGTTGTCTGATTCTGAAAGAGAGCTAACTAAAATGATGACTTAGCATGAAGAAAATGTTAAATTTAGCCACGCGCAGCAGAAAAATGTCTCTGGAAAGTGAGAAAAGCTCGGCTCACTGATGCTTGCTGTCAGCGAGGGCGTCCTTGCTAAAAGTGCTGGCCGACAGACTCTCTTTTGTGTTTTCTTTTGTGCTGCACTGCACTTCGCTTGCTGACGGTGTTCGTCTCTATTTAGGACACATTTCTGATAGCTGGCGTTGTCCGTGCACTGCGGACAAGAGTTTAATCAAAATAGTCAGTAGAGTACAATTTAATTTGCCTTAATTAGCATTGATGGGGATTTTGGAAAGCAAGGATGGGCTTTTGTGTTTGCTCTTCACATAAAAATCTGTGTTTTTATTAGTGATTGTTGCAGCAATGCTAGCAGCAGCATTGCCACAGAAGTGATTATAGTCCTGACTTAGCCGTAGTCTTCCCGGTGCCACATGAGCTGGAGACGAGGGAATCCCTGCATGTCAACTTTTAGGCGCTTGAACCAGTGCCTTAAACAGACAAGAGAAGATTGGAGTAATGAGACCTTAATCAGAGTTAAAGCTATCTGTCATGTGCTCTCTACCTCCGGAAGTCGGTCCCTTTTCCCAGCACTGACCAAGAAATTCTTTTGTCAGATTTGTACAGGGCTGTGGTTTAGCGGTTATCGCATTCAGCTTGCATGCAAAAGGTCCCTGTTCAATGGCCAAACTCAAACCTGGATAAATGGGAAGTCTGTGTCCGGAAGGACTTAAAAAGGGTATAAAATGTGTAGCAAATCAGTCAGTACCTTGTGAAATAAAGGAGCAACCAAAAGTACCTTATTGTTCTGTAAATTTGAAGTGTGTGAAGGCTAATATTAGCCACTGAACAGGGCCAAAACATTAAAGACACTGTTTTTAGAAGGTTGCTAAAGTTATTAGCTTTTATTGTTTTAAATTAATTAGTATTAAATTCATCGATAGAAATGGTAGCATTGAGAATCGTTGGATTGGATTGGTTTTATTGGTGTTGGTAACATGGTGCCTGTTCTGGTTTTTCCAGGTGTCGGCCTCTTCTCTCTGGTCCTGGGTCTTGTTTGCGCCCAGTGCTGCTGCCGCAACACCGCACACCTTCCACGCTCACGCAACAAACTCATGGACCTGGAGATGGACTGACAAACACTTTCCCCCGCGCCCTCACACTGCAGCGCTCACAGGAAGCACCACACGCATAACAGACACACGCCCACAGACGATTTCTGGGACACCCAGTTGTTCCCGGGCGACGGGCGTTGGGATTAAAATGCATTTTCGCAGTGCTTTAAAAGGTGCTCAGGACTGTTGTGTTTTTTCAACTCTGCAGTGTAGGAGCAGGGGACTTTCACGCTCACCAATGGGAAAAAATAGCCTTTCAGACTTCTGTTTCTATGAAGAAATCTTGTGGCACTTCTAGAGAATTTTATGCAGATAAATTTGTGCCCTGCCGACACCACCGCCGTACAAGAAGCTCTGAGGGATCCAGAGCTTAATATCCGAGGAACAGGAGACTTCTGAGACATCACTGCCACTTGGGAATAAGGGATCAGTAAACAGATCTGCTGCCTCTATAACCACTAGGGATAACAAATGAAGTGCTCAGGCCTGACTAAATGCTTTTTTAGGTTTTCTTTTTTTTTTACTTATCCTGATGCCAAGGCAACCAGTAAGCAACGTACCAGTGAATCCCACTATAATCTCTTTTTGGGGAAGCACGTAAAATTCATGGGTTCTTTGGGGTTGGCGAGACTGGAGTGCCATTACTTAATATGAATCTGCACAAGGTTAAAAGACATAATATATCCCTACTTAAGTCACATGGGAAACATCTGCTGAAGGTGTTCTGGCATTGCGCTACCACCCCAAAGTATTCCCACCTTAACACCTGGACTATATTTACCTTTATTCTCAACTCTAGTTTTTTGAAAATTCAGAGATTTTAAAAAAAATGAGACATTTTTAAGCTTTACACAGAGATATGCAGTGTGTTTGTGTGTGAGATATACTGTACATGGTGCCAATATTTTGAACTAATGGAGGCGTGCTTGGTTCGTATTGCCACATCAACACTTGAACTGCTGCTCAAAGCGGCAACAGCAAGCACTCTTCTTTTATAAATATTCAAAAATGTATCCAGCTGTTATTTTTGCCCGGGTCTTGTGTGTGTTTCGTACACTGTGTGAGTGCCGTGCTACAGTGTGTGAGACAAAGAGTTGCATGTACTGTTTTGTAATAACAGTATGATGTCATTCATGAGTAACACAAGGCGTTTTTTTTTCTCCCCCACGGTTACATTTTGATCACATCAAAGCTTCCTACATCTAGATCTGAAAAGCTAGCTGTCACCTCGCTATGGCAGACTCCAGTTTGTTCGTACTGTGAACAAAATGAAAAAAATTGTTTGGGTGATGTAAGGAACTTGGTTTCTTCCATGGTTTGAAGTTTTCAATAAAGTGATGCATGTTTCTTAGCTTTGGGTATAAAAGGAATAGTCGAATAACTTGGGAAATGTGCTTAGCTTGGTTAGCTTAGCGTAAAAGCTAAAGGAGGGGAAATGCTAGCCTAGCTTGTTCAGAAGTGAAGCAGTTTGCTCTGAAAGAACTTACTCTTCCCTCTATATTTAACATTTCCAACCATTGTGCATAACCAACATAAATGAGACTCTGATATTGTTGCTAAGCATTTTATGTCACTTTTGGTTTAGCTAGGATAGCAGTTCTCCTCATAAACAATATAAAAGATGGACGTAGCTACTATGTCATCCACTGGTTTCTGGAATCCCATTTTGAAGCCTTGAGATGAGCATTTCCACTGTTGCTGTGTTCATTGCAAAAAAAATAAATAAATAAACTGCAAAAAAAATAGTTGCGACAAAGAAGGGTGGGGCCAACTGTGAACCTGTACCCTTATTGGCTAACAGCTTGGGAGTGGCAACATGTTAGCTAAGAGACGTGTGGTTCATTCCACAGATAATGTTCCATGAAACACAGCATGACCAGAAGTTACAAAATATAATTTTTAAATTTTAATTAATCAATTTTGCAGCTACATCTATCGCCATCTGGTGGCCTTCAGATAGAATGCAGGTTTAAGGCACTTTTTCCAAACGGACAGCTAACGGCTACATCCATGTTTTACGCTGTTTGTGGTTCCTTTACACACCATGAACAAGCTACAGTGTAGCTAAAAAACTGACCAGTAAACTTCCAGTTGTTCAAGACGTGTCAACAACCAACGCGTGCATTATTTTTCCTTTGATATGTTTAGGTTCTGCTGTTTTCCTTGCACCTGCTTGATTCTAAACTCTAAACTCTAAAATGTATTTCCATAGGACAACAACAGAAAGAAACCTGCAATAATCGGCCAACTGGCAAAGTTAGCTGTGTCCAACTCGCATCAGCTGACATCTGTTTAGTCTCTGTGGAGTTTTTATCGCAAGTGAATGAACTTGCAATGACGGGTGTGTCGTGTCGACTGCTGTGCGAACACACACATACTTGAAGCAACCACACACACAGAAAATGAGGAAGTTTGTGTCCGAACCCAGCAGGATCCAAGTGGGCCTGTTGGGTTTTTAGCATGATGTGCCAGCCAGTTTTCTCCTGAACTGGCTGGGGTTGAATCAGGCTTTGTTTGATGTGTTTTAAAGAGAGTTTTAAGCAACTTTACGAGCAATATGAGGCTGTAGTCGGGTCACAGCTCCCAGAAAGCTAAACTTCTATTATTCACTCTTAATCAGAACTAAAGCACTGTTAACTCAGGCAGCCAGTGCGGAGCCATTATCCAGTCACAATAAACAGATGCCCATCACCGTGTTTCTGAGTTAATGTTTTCATATCCCATTTTTTCTATTAACTGAAACCGAAACCAGTGGTCTGCATCATTTCCACATACATCTTCCCGGAATTAGAAAAACACTGCTGAGTGTTTTGGCTTGGCTTAAGGAGGCTGGTTATTTCAGAAACTTCCAGTGTGGTTCCTTAAATCCTCTCCATGATTATACTGGTGCAGTATTCAGAACAGGTTCTTCCACTATCATTAACATACACACACCTACACATTCACAGGTAAACAGTATCGCTCTGTGCCAGTAAACAAGACCTAAACAAGAAAAGTAGCATCAGTACACATCCCTGATCATGTGATTACATCACTGCAAGACCTCCCCAGTGTCTTTTTATTTTGTCATTTTATTGCAATTAGTATGATGACTCATGATGATGTTTTTTAATAAACAGATTTGTAAGATGTATTCATTCTGACAGTTGTTTCTGTATGGTCTCATTTTATTGTGTGGTGTTTCATGAGGATGATTTCGGTATTGGTCAGTTCCAGTCTGTCACCTAGACTACCCTTGTCTTCACTCACTTTTTATGAGCACAGACATGACTATCATGACTATTTTAAGGTTTAACCCCAACTAAAGTTGTTTACGAAGGGGGGGGAAACTATCCATTGGAGCCAAAACGGTTTTTAATGCTGGAAAAATGGCATTTTAACATGGGAGTCTGGACGATCAGCTATTTGTTGGAAGCAGTCTTAAGTGGCCATTAAACCTACGGTTTTGGCACATCGGCATTGGATACATTTTCTGTCACTGGCTGGACAAAAAAGAGAAGAAAAAGTCTGAGTCACTGCCAATCAGATGCAGTGTTGGGTGTATACTGGCAAAATTGTTTCTGTGTGTCTGAAATTCAGACAAAAGCAGAGCATGAGCGGCTCACCTGTAAACGACACTACAGTGACTCAGTCTGTCAAATGGAAAATCGACCATCATTTGGATGTCGTCAGTTACAGTCCCCCGTTTCCCACCATTCAATGAAATATTCATCTAAGAAGTGAAGAAGTGAGTTTGCCATTACAAGCTATTAATTCATAAATATGGTACTGTGCAAAAGTTTTGTGCCCTTCTTCTTATGGTATATGGATATAGATTATGTTTATGATATATACTTGTATGTTTTGCCAAGGAAATGGGTGGAGGAATTTGTTGAAATATGTAAACGTACATGGAAATACAGTATGTAAGGCACAAACGGTCAATATTTGGTGTGACCGCCTTTATTCTTCTGCACAGTCTGAACTCTCTCCGGCAGCTTTATTTAAGTAGTCTTCAGGAATAGTTCTCCTGGCTTCTTGAGGGACATTCAAAGCTCTTTGGATGTTTGTGCCTTTTGTTCTGTTCTCCGCCAACATGATCCCACACTGCTCCAATAATGTCGAGGTCCAGGCTCTGTGGAGGCCAATCCATGACTGATGGTGTTCGAATGTGTGTTTTTCTATCCAAGTTTGCGTTCACTGCATTGGCAGCGCTTCTGAAAAGGGTCGGATAGAGGGACTGCATTGAAAATGAGTGAAAAATCAGCCAGTTTCCAAGAAAACCTTCAGAAAAGCCTCAGAAACTATTGCTCAAGATCATTTTTCAATAATAACAACAAAGTCTGGCTGCTTGACCAGAGACTTTAGTACAGAACTGGATGAGTAACCCAACTGAGAACCACCTTCTTGATCAGCGAGTGCCTCTTCCTAAAGCTACTCGCATTTCAGTGTTTGTATCGTCTGTTGCTGCATGCTGGAGTTGATTTATTGTGTATGAATAAGCCAACACTTCCTGCAGTTGTCCCTGGCTGGCCCACATTTACCCTCTTTCTTTTAAATGGCTGCTGAATTCTTTCCAGAGGATCTGATGTGGTCGTGATCAGCGTTCCCGCTACGAGCTTTGTGACAAATGTGGGCCAATTTAGTTTTCTTTTCCGTCTGTGGGCAAGCCATCAATCAGATTTTTCTGTGCTCCCAAAAACATGGTTTAAAAAAACAAAAAGGCAACTTTAAAAACTTCTAGCAGAATAAATGTTTTATAATTCAACATTAGACCACGGCTATATCTCTCCCTCTTCCCTCCATGTTGTTCTTTGTGTGTCTCCAATCGCCTTGTTAGCCGTATGGGATTCATCTGTTTGTACTTTTCCTCTATTTGTCACCATCTCTCTCTGCTGCTGCTGTTTTAACCACTTCTCCATCTCTTTCTCTTAATTTCTCCTCATCACACCGATCCCTCTTCATTAGAAATGCAGATGAGCTGGAACCTCAGCCGCTCTCTGGGGCTTTTACACCTCTTTAGCGCCAATCTCTCGTTCCATCTCTCTCCCTCTTTCACCACCACCCTTTCTCTCATCTCCATCTCGTGTGGAGAGGGCAGAGAAGAAAGACATATTGTTGAGTGACTCTGGAGCTGTCTGTGGTTTTGCTAACATGCTCTTGTTCTCTCTCAGGGTCCATTTGACCCATTTTCCAGTTCCTGTATGTTTGCATCTATGCCGCCTATGGATCTTTGATAATGTGGCCTTGTCACAACTTAAAGCATTCTGTTCCCAGTTTAATCAGTGGTGTATATGTGTGTGTGGGTGTGTGACTTTTAAAAAAATAAAAGCTTCCCTGGGTATAGTTTTTTTTTTTTATTATTTAGCTCTTGTTCACCGCTGTAAACTCCTGCCGTTTTGGAGATGGCACATTTCATGGCGTGAGCCCTGGCACCGACTCGAACGTGTCACAGCTTGAGGGTTGCTCCACATAACAAAGAATTCAGACAGAAAACTGTAGCAGCGCGTGGAGCAAAGTAAGCAGCTTGTTATCCCCAGAGTCTACCAGAGGCGACGTTTTCTTGTCTTCATTGTAATCAGCGCTGATGTCTCCAGCAGCTCCAAACAGCCCCAGCTCCATCACACCAGTCTGCTGTCTGTTAATGCCCCGTTTCCCTTCTCTACACCCCCACCCCTCTGAACCTCCGCCCAAAACAATACTTTGGTTGCAGTTTATAAAACTGATTTTAATTCTGTTTTGTTTTTGCTCCAGAATATGGGGTTTCCTGCTGTGTCAAAGCTCAAATTAGCCTTGCTTTTGGGAACCTTTGGAGATCAGTCAGGTTGCAGACTTGAAACCATGTCTGCTGAAACCTGCTTGCTATATGTACTAACTTTGAAAAGATTTATAGGAGTTAGAAAGACGCACTAGATCCTTTGGCTTGGCATATGAATATCTCCAAAGGTTCAGACATTCTGTACAATCATTTGCAAATCATTTCAACCCTAAATTATACAGATTTGATGCTAATGTAGAAAGTTATCCATAATGTCCTTATTGTTTTGGGACCAGGGGAGTACACATCAATCCAGTTTCAAGGTTCTCACTCAAACATATCGGCATAGGGCGTGAAATCTCATCATCTGCTATGCTGTTTAATAATAACCAGAAAATTGTTTATCGTGTCCCAGTGAAGCAAAGCTTTGAGCTCATTGATATAAAGTATTACTAACACATATAGTCCTTGTCCACCAGTACCTAATGTGGTTAGGCTGGTTTGACTCTGTTTTTAGGGTTTTTTACTAGGTGCCTGTTAGAAGTACTTTTTTAGTACCTACTCAGTTGGAGTTCCAAGCGATCCGAGGCTATCCAAAATCGTGACGTCAGCAGACTCAATGTCACCAGTTGGCTCATGAGAGTGTCTCCTTCTCGAAAATCAAACCCAGCATGTTTAAAAACCAACAACGAGGCAAAAAGACACCGTGGTCGCTGAGTGTGACAAAAAGCCAGACATCGGGCAGCAGGTATACCATCGTCTCGACATTGACCTTTGTTGTGGCTTTCTTGTCACGTTCAAATGCCTCATTGCTATAATGACCCCACGCATATTAGCTGATTAGGCAAAACGACAAAAACCACGCAGAGTGGGTACTTATGGAAGAGGGGGAATACTGAGCTATTGCCAAAAATGAGTTTGATGGGGTTACAGTTACCTTTAAAGGTACAGTGTGTAAAATGTCACCACTAGATGTCAGTGGATTGCTGATCGCAGTTCATTGAATTCTTACATCACATCCCAACCCCCCACATTTCAAATGGACAATCCTAGCTATGGTGGCCGCTGTAGGACAAACAACTTTTCCAGCCGTTCATCTGTAGTGAGTGTAGGCTGTCAGTCTGCTATTTACCTCTACTCTGGGTCTTTATGTCTATCTACTCTGGAGGAGGCTGTAAAACTGGCTGACTGATGTTAGCTATACTGCGGTGAGTTGTTGAGGATATCCTGAATATATAATATAATCAATATAATCAGAATACAATGAAGCTGGTTATCAGAAGCATAGTCTGATTTTTAGGATGGAGGACATTAGCTGGTATAACGTTAGCTTCTAACAAGCTGTTGTTATTTAGCTAGCAAACTGTGACAATATTAGGAATAAATAAGCATATTTATTTATTATTTATTAGGTTATTAACTATTTGGACACTATCCTAGATTAAAATCATTGCTTTCATATGTTTCTGTTACTCAGACTATAAAGCAACAAGGATACAAGAGAACCTAGTTCATGATGTCGCAAAGAACGGGAAAAGATTTCAACAGCGCGTGCGTGGGTCTGCTGTGCTAACAAGGGGAAATGCAACGCTGGAACTGAATTACAGGATTTCAGATCCTAACATTTCCTGGAAATTCTTGTCAATTTCTGCCTTTTTGTGCAATTGTTGGGGTGTTTTTCAAAATAGGAAACCTGAAGGAGTTCAAACCATCCAGTGAATTTTTATTTTCTTCTTTTTTTTTTTGCTCTATCAGATGATTTATCAGCCACGACCCCTCATGCGCTCATGCTACATCCCAGAACACAAGTCCGCTCAGACAATAATGCTCAGCAGCTGTTTTCCCTACAGGAACACGGGTGTGTCTACAGTTCATTAGCACTATGTGATGAATTAAACCCAAATTCAAACTCCCTCCATAACTGAGCTCTTGCTGATAAGCCTGTGAAAGCTGATTGCAGGCTGGAGGAGCAGATCTGCTAGTCTGCCCGGGGTGAGATCTCACTGACTGTGTCGACGTTACAGCACTGCAACATACGGAGGCGAAACAGATGCTCTGCCTCGTCTCACCAACTTGCGTTTCTTCTGTAATCCACGTGGGCTACCACACCTTCCATCCTGGCAGTGATTGGCTGAGGGTTTACCTAGACTGTACCCACAATGCTTCCACAGTAGCTCCAAGTCCCGTGGTGCTATAGTAGAGTCTTCAAGATAATAATGAAGTATTTATTCAAGTTAACACCCATCAGCTGTTAAGCTTTGCATTGGATTATTGTGGTTAACTGGTGTGTGTGTGTCTCTGCATGTGAATGTCAGAAGCTTGCACAAGGTGTGCCTGCAGCCTGTCTTTTATCATCCAATTTCCAAAGTAACAAAACACACAAACAATCAAAACTGAGCCCACTCA